ATACCCCAGTGCCAGGTTAGAAACCTCTGCCATAGCTTCTTCTTGTCCCTCTCAAGGCTGCTGCCAATTCTGAGTTAATCCTTTCCAGAATGTCTTAATATGCTTTCTCTAATCTTACCATGAAGCCAATCTTTGGTGAACTTTAACAAAAATTTTTGCATTTCTACCTGGTTGCTCTGCTCCTCTTTTCCTTCACTCTCATTCTACCTGAATCAGTGCCACTAATATTACTTTCCTTTTGCAATTGCACTTTACTGACTTCATTGCGCATTACATATCACACATTAGATTTCCACTCCAGTTCTAGAAAATGTGCTTTTCCTATCCTTTCCCATCCTTTGCTTCCCCCTCCCTTTACACGATGGGTCCCTGCATTCGTGAAACGCGGCTGCACCACAGCCCCGAGATGAGAACAAACCAGGAATCACTTCCCTTCTATTAGTCCCAGGAATAGTCAAGTTGACTCAAGACAGCGCACCAAAACGCAATGACTTTTGAAACCCACATGGTCCGGGAGCAAGCACAGTTCCTGGTGGCTTGGATGACTTTACAAGACATTACAAAGTCATATACATCAAATAACTGTCGTAGTAGCCAACATAATACTATTCAGCAACACGTCCACTTTCCATGGACATACTATGAATCTCCCTCCGTGCTCCTCTGGCTGACCGAAAGCCTAGCAAGTCTATGGCCCTTTTCCATGGCTTGATTTTCAATTAAGAGATAATGTCAGTGGAAGAGCACAGTTCATCAGATAGCGTTCCCCTGCTGTTGCAGAAGGCAGAGATGTAGTAAGCAGAGGTCAACTACTGAAAAATCTGTGTGCCTGGCTGAAAGATTATATAATATGTTAGGCTAATTTTACTTCATTTCATATTCACATATATTAGTGCAGCTTTTGTTATATACTTATCCTTATGTAAGTTACATCTGTTCTTTTATTCACTCATCCATGTTTGCTCTGCTTTCAGATTTATGAAACAGGCATTCCACTGAGCTCAGCAAATGACGGGCATAATAACTTATCTAAATTGCAAAGTATGTGATGCCCTTGAGGTAAACTCAGATGTGAAGGTTTTATGAAGTGTGTCACATGTGGAAGTGTAGGGAAGTGTTTATTTGCCAACTCCTGTCTATCCTTTGGCTGTTCAAATGATGGTAAGAGAATCCTATGAAACTGCTACGAAAGCCTAGGGGCTAAAAGGAAAAGCAGAACTACATTATTATCTTCATAGGGGATGCAGAGCTATACTGGCACTTGCACTTATTTGGCTCTTCTCTCTTTGGATGTCAAAAGTTTCTGGTTGATAGGCTCTAAAGTATCTATTTATTTAATGAAATGCCTCTCACTGTAACAATATTGTGAGGCTTTATTAATGAATTTATTCTTATGAGATAGGAAAGTAATCTCTTTATGTTTCTTTATTTTTTCTCTTACAAGACTGCAGAGAAACAAAAGCTCTGTAGAGGAAAGTAGGAGCCTTCCTGCTGTTTTATGTATCTGAGATACTCTAAACCCCTCTGCCTGTCTGTAGCTGCTATGGAGTCCTGCAATGGCCATGCAGAGACCTGGTTCCTTGAGCACTAAGGACCAAGCTGGTCCCAGCATTCATGTTCACAGCAGATTTCACTTACATCACATGTAACGTTGTCAGCAAAGAAACCAGTCAGTAATGGCCAGACATTATGTTAGTGCCTCCACTTGCTTAAGACACAGTGGCTGGACCAAGTCTCGTGGGATGGAGTAAAGTATCTGAAGGGGGCCTACAAGAAAGCTGGAGAGGGACTTTTTACAAGGGCGTGTAGTGATAGGACGAGGGGGAATGGCTTCAAACTGGAAGAGGGCAGGTTTAGAATAGATATTAGAAAGAAACTCTCGCCTGTGAGGGTGGTGAGCCCCTGGCGCTGGTTGCCGGAGGAAGCTGTGGCTGCCCCATCCCTGGAGGGGTTCAAGGCCAGGTTGGACGGGGCTTGGAGCAACCTGGGCTGGTGGGAGGTGTCCCTGCCCAGGGCAGGGGGGTTGGAACGAGATGGTCTTTAAAGTCCCTTCCAACCCAAACCATTCTACGATTCTATGAAATTATCAGGTTAGTTCCCCTCAATCTCTCTTGGAAGTTTCCTGTTCGTTGTAGCTGAGTCTTGTGCATCAGAGGTCATTACTCAAGCTGCTGGGCTGTCAGTCTGGTTAAAACAGTAAGTTGAATTAAGAAGTGAGTTTACACTTTAGGGTCCAGTAAGCAAAGATACATTTCTGCCTCTGTTTGCCGCTAAAGACTTAACCCTCTTTAAAAGAGGATGTTTGATGTTCTTTCCCATAGCGTTTCCTATTGACTACTTTAGGAGAGCTTCCCATTCATAAGAGGGGCTTCAGAGAAGTCTGTTCTCATGAAATGCTGATGGAGTGATAGTTATGTACCTTCACGACTCAACCTATAACACAATTTGGACAGAGGCAGTAACTAAAAATATTCCTAAGGACTAATATGGTGCCTTGAATCCTCTGTAAGCCCAGCAGTCTGGCCACCAGCAAGTTCAGCTGAGGAATTTCTGACAACTTCAAGAAGAGAGAAGGCAGTAAAATTTTTTTTAGGAATGCTCATGTTCCTGAAGTAGACTGTGACTCAGTCCCTCTGTTAATGACTTGAAAGGTCTTAGACCCAGGTGTCTGTTTGCCCAAATTTCTAATACAAAGCTCACATTTTACCCAGGGGATGGCAAGGAAAACTGTCAGTAAAATCCTGGAGAATAGGTATTTTTTGAGACTGACCCAGCCCACTTTTCCTGCCTCTGAGGTATTCTTCAGGGATATCTAGTACCTTGGTAAAGCCTCTATAGGAGGACGTTTCTTAATCTCCCAAGGTAATCTAGGCTCTCCTGGGTCAGCTCTCCTGGTGATTGGAGAGTCTGTAGCCTGGTGATACCGAGAAAGACATCTTCTGTGCCTTGATGTTCTCTTTTCTCTAGCTAATTATGAGGTCATTTTTCATTTCTTTGTATTTAAAGCTTCCAAAAATAATTAGCCCATTTGATAAATTAGTTCGCTTAAAAACATAAATTTGTAAGTGAATTGGATGAGCGACGCGGCACCCAAAACACTTGAAGCTACACATATATTACTACGTTGTCAGTCCTGTAAATTCAAAATTGCCAAGATTAATTTCAGAGTAATTTGATAAGCCCTCCACTGTGACAAAAGGAAAAGTGTTTGGGTGTCAGGCTTTGTGCCCTTCTATGTTAGATTTCAGCCTGAATGAATTTTTTATGGCTGACTCTAGAATATAAAAGTCTGAAAACAGTGGTTTGTAATGGCAATTCTGACAGACCCTTTAACCATTTGGAGAATAGGCACTGCTATAATTCTGCTGCATTAGAGAAAAATTTTGAGTGCTTTCATTAGGTGCAACAGCTGTTTCGACTGCAAAAGCTGAACTTCATTGGTGGTAGCGTAGCTGTCAGCCTTCCAGAGTTTTGTGTTTATAGCTGATTGTATAAACTCCTTTATGTTCTTTTCCGCTTTCCAATATATGTAAATTAATTCAATAGCAAAAATACAAATAACTGCCTTGTAACTAGATCCATGTGAAGGTTCTTTGTAGGCTCCTACGACCAATATCACGCGATGAACAAGCAGAGAAATACTGAGCTTTTTGAAATGGTTCTAGCACAACTGACACGCGGTTATCCACACCACATCAATTTTTAATCATCAGATTTAATCCTCCTTCTTAGTAATGTATTAAAGTTCTTTAACCTAGCATAACTTTCTTAATTAGAGCCGATGTAAAAAAACAAAACCCAAGACAAACCAACAAAAAACCCAACAAAGCCCCACCCAGCTCCCTGAGTGTCTTCCTGTCTCCTCTATTAAAAGAGAATTTTTTTCTAAGAACATGCTGAATATGCTGAAATTAAATTTTGGAAAAAAGTAAAGTAGAAAAGATATATTTGATGATACTTTTCATTTCTTTGTTCTGGTATAATATAGAAAAATATTTTTGCATTATGAAACAGTGAGTTCTGCTTGGAACAAGATGCCTCAAACCAAATCATTATTTGATTTGTCAAAAATTAAATGCAATAGTATGTTCAGAATGCAAGCAAATTTTGCAGCAACAAATTTTAAGTCCCACCAGTGCAGAAATTCAACCCCTTTGTTCTCCAGCCTCAGTCACAACCCTGAGTGAGTGCATGTCTGTCTGGATCTGACGGAGCCGTAAGACATAGGGTAAGACCAATGCTCTGAACCATTAACAACATTTTCCCTGCCTGGTGATGTGTTGCCATCCTTTTCTTCGGAAGTGGTTGAATGTCGGTGGTGTTGAATGCCCAGAGCTGTAATTTGCTCTGGTTTGAGAGACTTTGTAAAAATGTAAGATGCTGCTGTTACATCCAGCCTGACCTATTACTCATTATGTTGGGTCAGATTCATCTGTATAGAGAACCAACGCAAAACTCCCTGAATTTCACAAATCCTTTAAGAATTAAATTGACCGGTTGCTGTGCAGAGACTCCGGAAAGGCATTTACATGTCTTTTACCTCTCACATCACCAAAGCCTCGTTTGAGCTCCACTAAGGGACCTAATTTGTTGGACTGAATTTAATTCCCTAACAACTCCCCCCCCTCCACCAACGCAATTAGCACAGTACCCCATACGACAAAGATGGAAGAGAAGTATAATTATCAGCCAAAAATAAGCTATTCAGTATTTTTTGTTGGTTTTGGGTTTGTTTGTTGTTTGTTGTTTTGTTTTTTTTTTTTTCCCATTAGATAACCACATGAGATTATTAACGGGGACGAAGATCAACCATAGGGGCTACAGCAAATAACAAATATGCACTTGTGGCTTGTGCCTGAGCACTAACAGAGTTCAAGGCACAGAGTCAGGTTGCAAATGGCACCTACTTTCTTTTCTACTTTTTGAACAGATATGACTCAGGTGGACATTTACTCCCCAAGGAACAATATAGTCTCCTGCCCTTTGCTGCAGGTTTTTACCTTCTGAATTTTATTCCACACACGTCCTTTATCACTTCTTCTTCCTTCAAGGGTGTCCATGGCATCTGCCATTAGTGACTGCAGCTGTGGCACCAAGATAAAAATTATCAGTGTGGAATTCACACAGAAATAACTTCTCTAAATACACAGATTAAAACCTAATTAAAAAATCATTTGTACGCTGATGATTTTATTACTCATCTTTCACACAATGAGCACTGCCACCTCATCTCTGCTTCAGCCATTACATTGTATTATTGTGGATATAAAGTACTTAACAATGGGAAAAAATCCTTTGGAAAATTTGTATTTAAGCCTATACGTTTTAATGCAGTAAATGTTTATACTTAGTAAAGAAAGACTTGGGTTGTAAAGATTAAAGGCTCCATATTTCATTCTTTAGCTGTCTGGGATATTCTGTGTCGTACATGAATGCTTTTTAGTATTTTCTCCCAAGGCTAATGTATCATAATTTAAGGCAGCATGTAAAACCTCACAAGAGGACAACACTAAAGCTGAGATGCTTTTACTGTAGCTGGAAGTATCTAGCTCATTTTCCCTGCTTTTACTATCCTTTTTCTTTGGCAAACTCTCCCTTCTCCCCATCATTCAGCATAACCGAGCATAAAAACAAGGCTGACAATTTCTAGTGTAAACTATAAAAAGAAGCTGTAGGAAAACACTTGCTAATCAGTCCTCAGTGTTAGAGGGAAGGCTAAAATTCAGGTTAGTTGCGGTATTGCCTCACCCTGGTTCCCTCCCAGGTTAGTCATAGCATTGCCTCACCCTGCAGCCTTCCCAAACACTTGAAAATGTTTTAGTTGTTCTTAATTTGGTAATAGAGAGACAAGGGTTGGATCCAGGGTGTCCTCCGTGAGCAGCCTCTAGCATCCATGTTTAGGAGTAAACTCGGAGAAATTTGTACTTAATACCTGTGATATTGGTGTGCTCTATTAAAAGACTTTTAGCTGGTTAAAGTGAACTCAAACAGCTTTGGTGTCTCTTCCCAAATTCATTACTCATTACGGGTCTGTATAGGCTGGTCAGTATAAGCCTAAGCATTCGTGGAGGAATTGTCTCTTCTTTCTGTACCTAGATGGGCAGCAGGCTAATATGAGTACTAATGGTGATGAAACTTAAAACATCAGTGTTTAGGTTCATCTGGGCAAGATATAAAAATGCTGCCTTAAGGTCAAGGAGCAGATCTCTATGTCCCCAAGTTTACCTTCACATTTGGGTTTTTGAAGTTAAAATTCTTTGTGTCCCAACACTTGGATAAAGGATGCAGGAATCTCCTTTTGAATCTCTAAATAAATTTGCTGCGGTTGGTTTCACCCTCCTTTCTCCGCGCTTGTGCAGCCATTAAGTTGAATCTTATTGCTCCAAACTTTTGATGAAAACTTCTATTTTTTATAAGTCATGCATCAGCATTCATGAAAAACAAAACGGCAAATTTCTGTCTCTGACTTTAATGCAAAAAGAGTCGAGAACCTGTCAGAAATTTTCCGTCAGAATACTTTTATGACAGATAATCTCCTTCCATGAATCCAGAATAGACACAGCCCAGAGATTAAGGGTATTAAGGGCAGAATGGGCAAAGCACAGATCCTGCGTCAAACCCGCCAGAGGAGGAACGGGTCAGGGGAAGGGAAGGATTTGTCCATCGCTCTTCTTGGAGTGATTGTCTCTGAAGAACTGGCCAAACAGCAGCCACCGGGGCAGCAGGGACCATGGCATCGCTCTGCCACCCCCGAGGGGCCGCTTCAACAGCCCAACCAGGCTGAAGACTTCACTGCTTTGGGCAAGAGGTTGAAACAAGACAACTTTCCAATTAAAGTTTCACTGATGCTGTTACAGCCTGGTGAAAAGCGCCCAGTGTGAGCCCAGTGTGGTTTTAATTTTTACCACCCAATGTTTTTCACCAGCTCTACCGGCAGACAAAATGTGCATGCGACAGGAGCGGACAGTTGGCAAACCACAGTAATTCTCCCACAGCTGATCTTTTTTGGAAAATCCCCTCCAAGGAAAAAAAAGCTACGTTTAAAAAAAATGTCTTGTCCTCATTTGGTTTTAAATTGAAATAGATTTCTGCTTTTTTAACAAGCTTTCATCTTGATTTATGATGTACAAATATGGTGACATTGAAATCACAAACCTTGGAAAGACTTTCTTCGGGGTTTTTCCCCACTTATATTCAACTGTCCAAGCTAACTGAAATCTTTATTTTCCTAAGGTCTATGAATAAATACTGATCTAAAAAGGCCTCAGTTGAGGGTCTCTGTGCCGTAGATTAGGACTCTATATATTTAGTTACAGGAAGACATTTACACAGAAGAGTTTATATCCGAAATGCCTTTGGGATCCTTGCTGTAGCAGTGCAAATTGCCCTATTATAAATTCGGTGTGTTTTAAGCTTTATACAACTTATACCATATGTGATAATAAACATTTGGCATCTTTAGCATTTTCTAACTCACACAATTTAACTGCCTTCCTTGGTCATAAAGCCTTATCTCAGTTTTACCAATGTAAAGTCAGAATGACCTCAGAGGAGTTACTTTAAATTTTTATTAGTACAAGTGAGATTAGAATTTGGCCAGCTCAGGTTTCTTCATGGAAAAATTTAGATATCTCTTAGAAATGTTGGTGAAGAGTGAGAAGCACATGGAGTCAGCACGGGTGCTGTGATTCTGACCCCATGGACATGGAGGGGCTGCCCCTGTCAGCACTGGGAGCCGCTGAATCACACCAGTACAGCCCAGTCCTGCAAATGTTTCATCCTGCCTGGACCCCGGTGAAACGAGGAGGATGACAGGTAGGCTGAGCAAATGAGGATCTTTGACTCGCTCCCTGGATGGTTCGGACGTGCAGACCCAACGCTGGGCAGCACTGTACTGTGCTTGATGTGGTATGGGAACGGTTCCTACTGGTGTGCGAGGAGCCTGTGCCGTGTGGGACGGTGCCACCGGGAACGGCAAAGCCCATTAATCACTCCATGGTGAAGCCACTTGGCAAGTTCTTGCTTGCGGTCCTGTGTCTTAACACTGCAGAGCCTAAAGTTTACTAAAATATTCTAGCTACGAAGCATCCGAGCCTCCATTTGCACAGACAGACTACGCTTATATTTTACAGCAGGGTGACAGGACAAAGAAAAAGAAATGAATGCTGAATTAATACATTTTAATGCTCTGGACGGGGTAGCTGGTAGAGATTTTCTGCCTTTATTCTTTCAAAGATCATTTTTACCTTGGGCTCAGCAAACAAAGCTTATATATTTTGTTGAAAGATTTACAATCTGTCACTTAAATCTCCCAGCGCAGACCCTCGTTTTGCCCAGTCCTACCCCTAGGAGACTGAAGACCTTTGTCTTGGGTGGCCTAGAGCCTCCCCCAAAAAGCTTTCCAGGGAGGTCAGGCTCACGATTACTACACGAGAAGATACAGGCAGCAGCGTAATAGCCTGTGCCTAACGTGTGATGTACTGAAAATATTGTACCCTGGAGAAAAACCCATCACTGAAATATGTACCAATAACTCCGGACCCTTTAGTCAGCCTTGAAATGTGGGCCCGCTGAAGTTTAATACGAGAGAACTTGCATCAAAAGGAGAATGCCTTTTAATAACACAGTTTCTTTGCAATGTCTTTTCCCCTTATCTCGAGCCCAGACTTCAAAGTCTGGCAACCACCTCCTGCAGTTGCAGGCCGCTGCTCGTCTTCCCTAAAGCGAGCTGCTGTGAAGCTTTAATTCGACAGAGCTTAGGAGCTTTGCGGGGCTGCAAACAAATGTCAAGGGACTGGCTTTGGGAAAACCAAGAGTTTTTAGCGAACCCAAGTTGGATCAGCAAAATTGGACTGCATTTAAATGCAGGGACTGTGGGGGGACTTTTTTTTTTTTTATTCCTAGAATGAAAACGCTGAAAAATTGCATGTACGTGAGCTCCCTCCCTCCCTCCCCCATCAGAAAAAAAGACAGCCTCGTGGAAGAGTACCCATAGAGTACTCTCTGATCACACGGCATCTATATACTATCAAGCCATGAATGACCCTACTCTTGCAACAACCCTGCTGGCAGCTCTGCCCTCACGTTACAAAGGGAAAACAAAAGCGTAGGAGGTAAAGGGGTTTATTCAGAGACAGGGGGCACGTTGTGGATGGAGCCAGGCAAGAAAATCTTACCTCTACTTTCCCCCTCTCCTCAGCTTTAACTAGATTTGGCCTGTTTTTGCTGCAGGTGGCTCCTGGTGTTAGAGACCTTACAGTAGCACGATCTGAATAATTGCAATCATTTTCCCAGACTGATTTGGGGAGGTTTGGGGGAAAAGAAGAGGTTTTAAAAATATGCCTACAGATGAGTCATGCTGGTTCTATAAAAGTCATCCTTGCAGGTGATTAGCACCTCCTCTGACAAGGCACTGCGGTAGGATTTTAAAACCGTTTCAGGTCTGCACATTGGGAAAAATGACTTCTAGAGCAAATTGCAGCGCAGTGCTCTGCCCCAGCCCTTCCCTCCCTGGCTCCCTGCCTCTAACGGCCAAAACAAGTATTAGAAAGAAATACTTACCAGTTTGGCATCCTGCTTGCTGATGTCCTGCAGGTAGGGAAGGGTTGCTAGCTCAGCCATCGCTTGATTAATCACTTGGGACTGTTCCTCGACTCTCTGCAAACGGCCGAGGAAGCTGGCGTAATGCAACTTCTCTATCCCACGTGAACACGCACAGAGTCTGTCCTGTTTTCCCAGCAAAAGCAAGCAGGTTAGAGGAGAGCCGCAGAAAACGCGCTTATCCTCTGCGTCCTGTGCCTTGAGGCTTATCAGCATATATATTTGTGCTGGTAATACTATAAGCAATATGGCATCCAGCACCTTTAAGATAATGCTGCTGACAATCTTTATAGAGGGGGAAAGGAAAAAAAAAGGACTTTCTTTCCACAATCTCTCTAGTAGTACTAGAAAAATAAATATGTAGTCATAATACGTGTGAAGGGGAGACAGGAGATAACAAACATGAATGCGGTCTGCTCATTTGGAAATGGCTTTTCCATAATCCCCGCTGTTAAATATTATCTGACTTTTATGGATTGCTTTTAAAGTTTCAGTGAAGAGGTTGAATACCGTGCAGTGTGTCAGCTTATGGTTTGTTTGCAGACTGGGAAAATCCATAGTTTTCAAATATATAACCTTGAGGGACTAAAACCTGCAGAGGTGGTCTCTGATCCTCCAGGCAGCTAGGCGCATGGTAAATTTTAAGCATGTGAATACAGAAACTCAGCCAAGTGCTTGCATAAAACCTCAGCACCTGCTGAAGTGTTTGATGGATGGCAGCCTTACCACCATATTTTCAAAAGTATTCTGATGCCAAAAATGCAAATAAGCACCCTACTGAGATTTTCAAAAGCAATTTGGCCTAGATTCTCGGCGAGATGTAGCCATTGCATATCTGAACGCTCAGCCCTTCTGAGTGAAATTTCCATTCATCTAATCAGCGTTTTGAACGTATTTAAGTGCCTGAAATTCCAAGAATTGGCATCAATTTTCAAAACCACTTCCAGTATTTTTAGCAGACCTTTGTTCTGGCAGTGGCACGCTGATGCTGCCATTAACATACACTTCCAGGTAGATGATTTTAAATCCAATCGCATATTGAACAGGGTGAATGGAAAGTTTTGAATGACATTTATTTTTCAATAAATGTTGTCTCATTTTTAAAATTGACTTCTCTTGGCAACCAATCTTGATCTTTTGGTCTGATCTTGATCCTGGTTTTGCAGAAACTTGAGCTAGGCAAGCACCAAGTGTTATCAAAATGACTATCAACATAGTTCTTGTGTCAAGTCTAAGAATTTAATAACAATCCTCTTCTTGCTTTCTATATGTCTTGCAAGACTAATAATGGAAAAAAGCTTAGTTTTCTTTTAACTCTAGAAAAATACAAACAATGGTGATATAGTTAATGTCACCCCTTTTAATACGATACCTAATAGAATTGTAAAATAGTACAAAATAAAAGATGATGCATTGGAGGCCAATGGCAGGAACGCGGCCATAATCTGGGAGCTCCAGATCGGAAAGCAACCGAAAAAGAAGGAGCTGAGCCAATGAACTGGTATTTCCATTAACTGAAGGAGAGAATCGGGCACTGTACAGGGAAGAGGAGCTCTGGTCAGCAGTTCTCTGGAGTATTGCAGATAGCTCCAGTCAGCTGTGTTTGGAGAGGTTAATTTAAACCCAAGCATCACGGAGCAGAGAAGCCAGCACGGTAGGAGATACCTCATTTGAGAGAAGTGTGGTTTGATTAGTCTATTAATGAAAATGCCAAGAGCTTATTATTCTTCTCAATAAACATAATGCAGGGCTAAATTCCAAAGAGAGCAAACATCTGAAAAGGGAAGGAGAGATAAAAGACAATGATAACAGAAGGACCATTGTGTATAAATAGGTTCAAATAAGACTGGGGTGGCAATTAAGCTTCTTATAATTCAGGTTGAAGGTCTGCAGTGTGTTTCAGCAAGAGTAGAAAAGGCAGAAAACCTAAGTAGTTCTAAGACGGATTTTACTCAATTTACGAATAGAATATTATGTGACACAAAGGTGTATAATAAAAGGTGACTTGAGGAGTCAGGACAGCCCTTCCAGGCCTACCATCTCATGAACTTCCTTTGACCCACCTCTGAGAAAGGAGACCAGGACAACCTTCTTATAAACTATTTGTATCACTTGAAGAGTCCTTTTCTGAGGACCTGACCTAGTATTAGTAGGAGACATCAGCAAGAAAAAAGATTTCTGTGATCTCTGATACGTGAAATTGTAAGTCTGACACACTCTAGTTAGCATGGCACTAAAGCGAGGAGCAAAATGGAGCCCCACATCCACCTGATCATCGGTGTTTGAAAGCCAGATAGCTGTGTCCCCAGGTAGAACCGTGTGCATTAAAATAAGGAGAAGCAATCAGTTAATGAGAGAGAAAGGGAGCTTTTATCAACGTGAAATAGTCTCACAACATTTTAGATGCAGCAAAAGGTTTTTTTCCTGCTATTCTTGAAATCCGCCCAAAACCTTTTTGTGTAAGCACTAAGAAATGAGTATATTGAGTCATCAGCTAAGAAAGCAGGTAAAAATCCTCTCTTATCATGCTGTGTCTGTTGGGGGCTTCTTCAATGATTAAGAAAGTAAAGGCAAAAAGAAAACAATTTTTTCTCTGCTTGACTCTCCAGAAAAATATGAGAGCATGCCACGTAGCTATGGGAAACAAATTGGGCATCTGTGCCAACATGCACTCTGTGGACATAGCAATGCTATTTAAGTTTATACTAGGTTGGAAGTAAATAAATAAATAACTGACAGCGGGGTTTTTTTGAAGGGATTAGAGGAGGTTGAACATTGTCAGAGGTGGTGTTTCAGCGACAATGAAGAATGCAGAAATAACTGCTGCTGGCAGGAGAAAAAAATTCCACGGGGAGCTGAACCACATGATGAGAATTACATGAAGTATAGCAGAATTCAAGGGGCTACTAAGCTGCAGTAAAAAACATAATAAAGCGGCCAAGCAATCAGATGAAGATGAAACCAGCTAAGGTGGGCACAGTGAAGGTTAAGCAAAGAGCAAACTTAACTGGAGACTTCAGTGGAAAAGAGTTGGCTCCTTGAACAAAGAGAAGAGATACACGTTTGGGGAGTCAGGTCGCAAAGGAACCAAGTGCTGTGTATGGAGTGACAGTTGCATCCTGTGCAGTAACATATCAAGATAATAAATGATTAAATTATGATGCTGTTACTTTCTAGATGGGCCTTACCCCTATTGTCTGGTATTCCAAGGAGAATTTAAAGAAAAAAAAGTAAAAAATAGCAACTGATGGACTTTCTCTTGAGGGCTATATTCTTAATGGGCAGCCTCGCCTGAGGCGGGGGTCCTTCTGAGACAGCTTTCCCCAGAAAACTTTGTGCTGCATGAATTTTCTTTAAAAAAAAAGGGGGTGTTTATCCCCAAAGGCACCTTTGAAGACCTTCCTTCTAGGAGAGAAATAAGGTCCTGATGCTTGAGGATCAGGCCTGGGACATTTTCATTCCTCTGACCTCGGGATGAAAAAGCACCTACAAAAGGCAGATCAGCCTCTTCTGGATGGAGCTTACCTGCTACTGCTAAACACCCAGCACTAACGACTGCAGCAAAGATAGGACAGGTTTTCATGGCAAAAAGGAGCTGGAGAGCATGTGAGAGGAGTGACTCATGTGTCCTTTCATGTATTGAGAATTTTGGGATGATGCCCCCACTTTTTTCTTTTCTCTATGCTCAAGAAAGGAGTCATCACTTGTGCCAATTCTATTTATAAATAAAGTTTAATTGCTGAGTGCTAGGAATGCTAAAGAAAAAGCAAAGCAAAGTGGCTGGCCAGCCTGGATTTAAAGCAGGAACTCTCATATCCAATACGTGTGGCATGTTTAACCACCAGGTTTAAGAGAACCACTTTGCAAAAGTCTGGAATGCCCCCCAGTAGTTCTTTTCTATTGTAGAGTCTTTACTGCTACTTTTCAGCTCAAAATCTGAATGAAGTTATGCCTTGCAAGCAGCTCTGTAGTGTATTGCAATAACAAGCGGAAAAAATCCATCATAATGTTTCTTTAATACCCTTGGTATCCTCCAGAAAATGTGTATGCTGAAATCTGTATGTGGTAAACGCTTTCCCTCTACTTAAAAAATAGACAACAGAACAGTGAGGTCTGTAAATGTACGCATCATGCTGTGAATCATATGGTAGGTTTTGTTCACCTTTATATTATGAGCAGTCTAATAAGCCCCTCTGGCCACTGTTCTCCTGTTAAGTAGCATCATGTGCCATTGACACGGGACTACAGCAGGAGAAAGGCAAACTTGGCGTGTACAAAGCAGCAGCAATTACCCCAGTGAAACCACTTGATAGAATCACCACTTGTCAGTGATGGTCATCTAGATTGGAATACGAGTAGCTGAAGGTCTGAGTGATATATATCTTTCAAGGCACGTACAATAACCTTTGTGTCATGGTATGTATTTCTGGGTCGATGAGGTTTATGGCATTTCCCCACCAGCGGCAGACGATGCTGCGTGGGGACCAGACTGCGACATCCTCTCTCAAACGCCTCTTGCTTTACAATACACAAATGTCCTCTTGATTTAAATGGGACTGGCTGTTCTTTATGAAGAAGGGGGGTGGGGGCAATAGAAAACGCTCTGCTCTTTTTAACCTTTAACGTCATGTCTTGCCAACAGTGGTGTGTGTATAAATCATATAATTAACTCTAGGTTGTGTAGCTGCAAAACTGATGTGGCAGAATTGACTTATATTAAGTGTTGCCATGGCTTAATTAGCTCTGCTTTAGCACTGAGATGTTTTTGTCAAAAAAAAAATATCTGATGAGGACAAACATTTTAGATTGTACATTTGTGTCTGCAAATGAAGAGGGCAGAAAGGAATGTTTGTTCTATTAAAAACAAATACGTTCTTTTATCTTCTTAAAGTAAGTTGTAAAGCCAGAGTCTGTATCTGAAGATTGTCTTCCAGAAGTTTTTAATTTAGTTTGTGCATGATGGAAATATGATGGAATCATATTTCTAGCTTGAAGAGAATTTTGGAATACTTTCAAGGAAGCAAAAGTGGCCAAATCTCTGCCAGGCCCATAAAGAGATTTTAATCACCAGTAGCAGAGAAGTTCTGGCTCTGTGCCTATCTGTATTATCAAGTATAATTGGCTTTGTCATTTGCTCTTCGGGTCGGAGGTCCTGTCTTGCCCGCGTCACTCAGTGCTTCGAAAACTGAAGGGAAAGTGAATCTGTTTCCACCGGTAATGGGTGTGGAACTGGCAGCTGTTTGTTAACTCAGTGATAATTTCTTTTGTCTTGGGCTTTCCTCCTCTCCGTTAAAGCTCCCATACTGCCCCCCTGGGGGCTGGCTATAAATCTATGGGACCGTGGTTCAGACCTGTTATCCCGCTGCTGGAGGTGGCGTTTGGGCAGACCTTGCCTGAACCGGGGGGATGCTGCGCTGACCTCCTTGAAAAAAAGGCAAGTGTGCTGCTGACTTCAGTGGTGCTGGGAATCCATCCTGTATTTTTGGGAGCCCTCTTCTGTTTCAGTAAGAATATTTAAATGTATGAGGTGAGGTCTAGAGCTGGTAGAAAGCATTATTGTGTAGGAACAGTGTAAATTCATACAGCTAGTGGCGACTGCCCTGAGCAATCCTAACACACCACTCGGCTTTCATCTCTCACATGATCAATTTGGTACCTTTCCCCTCTATCCTGGGTACCAGCTACCACATATCTCTGCTTGAACCATGTGGTCCTGTTCCTCCAAATTCATTTACAGAACAGGGTAGTTATAGAACAGTTTCAAAGCTTTTTCTCTTCTTGATGCTCTTTAGAGACTGAATAAATAGAGGAATCTCACCTCCAAAAGCTCAATGTTATATACAAAGAGAGAATTGTGGGGTCAAAATTATTTTTTAACAACTGGAGTTTTACTAGAGCTTTCAGAAGGACCAGGGGTTTATTCTGTATCCAGTACCCAACCCACTGTCTGTTTACACTTCCAGCTTCTTAAACGTTCGAAGCGCAACGCACACAGCAGTAACAGATATTTCACTTTCCCAAAGACGCCACTTCTATTGGCCCACACATCAATAACTTGGGCCTTTGGTCATGCGAAGCCAACAGCACATGGCTTCAGGAAAGAACTGGAAAGAAGCAGTTGTGTGTTTCCCTGGGGACGTCTGCTCTCAGCCCGCTCCACCTGCCTCACACCGGCGCAGATGCTTTATGGGCGCCCAGTTTGGCGAAGCACTAAGCACCTTTACCTCCCACTAAGCATGTGAGTTCAAGCACGTACTGTTGTTTCAGCAGCTGCTCTCTGAAAGTAAAGGAGATAGAGCTTCCCCAAATATCTAGCTAATGCTTCTTCCTTGCTAGGGGTTGCTAAGTAGCAGTTTTTGTCAACCTCCTATCTGATATCAAAACCTAAGAATATAAATCCTGTGATTTGCTAAGACACCCCCGACGAGGAAATGGCTCTGATTCCTTCAACATACAGAAAACTAAAAAACTGCTATTGCTAGGGAAAAAGCGTTAACATTAGCATTTACAATCTGGGGAGGAGAGGCTTCTTCCACTTATTTTCAGGAGAATAATTTAAGAATTGCATTAAAACAGTCTAGTCTACATGCAAATTTGATTTTTGACCTTTTGTGCTAATCAAAAGCCATGGTGCTAAAAAGCTGTGTACATTATTGCAGAAAGTCTGGAGTAGAATTAACTAATATACCTTCAATAGGGTTGTAACAGATTTGAAGGTTGTTTCACATACTTCACTATATAGGGATCAGGATCTAAATCACTAGCAATGCGTCAAGTAGCAGTTATTAACTCTTGATGGAGATCCTGGTGATATGTGTAGTATACGATGGGTATTAAATGTGGCGAGCAGTTTTGGTGGTTGTGTGAAGTAGCGATATAATACAATAGGCCATAAGGACTTGAGAAAATGGCATGCAAAGTGATTTTAAATAAACTAGGTACACTGTTCAATAGTTAGGGCTACTCTTTAAAAGTATTTAAACCCCAACTGAACTCTGTTCCTAATGCAATTCACTGAGCATTTCTCGACACGGGAGGAGCATGTGAAGAATGAATTACCCACCAAAAAGCACAGGTCATTCACACATGCACAGGCTTCTGCTGCCACACACACTGCACACCAGAGAGTGGATTTTATACTCACAGTTAATTTGGTGCTTCTTATAAAATCCATTACGGGCACAATCCTTTTCCCAGTGTTATCCCAATATCTTTTTGTTTCTTCCATCGTGAGAGGAGTGAAAGGTGCTTTCTGGTCTAGGAAATGAAATCACAAAACCATATACTGTGTTTATTCATATACATTTTCCATAGAGGATCTAGCAAGATGACGGGTAAACTGGAGGAGGAGAGAGGAGGATGGGGAGAGCTGTCTGGACAGTCAGGGCTGCCGGCACAGAGCAATGGGTCCCGAGAAGCCCCCCTTACCCCCCTCATTTAGCAAAGATCATGGAGGTCTCCCCTGAGCTATCCCAGCTATTAAGCAAGTTGGTGTACCTGAAAATATTGGCAGTTTTCTACTTGACCACCTTTCCAAGGTTTTTCCAATATGTTTGTTTCTGAAACCCAGCGTCAGTAAGTACTGCTGGGGGGGCAGGGACGGCCACTCAGCCGTCTGCGGCAAGATGTGAAGTCCGTGAGGATCTGGAATATGGAAATGAAAATAATTTCCGCTGTCTCGATTCTTTTCAGTTGCAAGAGAAGTTTTTTTTGGGGTGGTTTTTTTTTTTTGTTTGTTTGTTTTTTTTAGGAAAAAATAGGAAACCTAAGGAGTGAAATGCAATCCAGAAAGCTTGCCAAAACAAAGGTGACCAAACCAACCCATCCAGCTACAGCTGGGTTTTGAAATTCCAGACTTTGCAACCTTTTGCATCAACAGCTTAAATTCTGCTGATGCACAAGATAAAACACGTTCTTCCCATTTATGCACTTTTCAATGCTGATCATCCGAAGCGTTAATAAGTCAACACTTCAGTAACACAGCATCCTCATCTTTTAACTGCAAAAGAAGCTGGTTTGCTGTCCCCTGAATTTATGAGGTTTGATTTCCTACAGATTGGTGCTTTTACCATCTCCACCACCAGAATCCCAGGCCTCCCCAATGTCCTTTCTGATCCACCCAGCCGGCACGTGACAGTCTGTGCCGTGTCCTGTCCAGAGTTTGTCACTGCTGCTGCCAAAACCCTGCGTATCGGCTGAGTCGGTCTGCCCTGACCTCGGCGAGGACAGATGCTCAGAGCAACCGTACAAACCACCTTTGCTTAGGGAACCAGACCAGTCCTTTCCTCCCTCCCCTTCCCCTGCGAAAAATAAACCGAGATTGAATGTCAGTGTCACTTTTCACACAGGAGTGCTCTGTTTTCAGTCGGCTCTGCTTTTAAGATGCCAGGCTGTGCGGTCACAGTGACAAATGGAGAACCCCACTCAGAGCTCTCCGGCCGTACCCCTATATAAATCAAAGCGAGTGGACCTGATATTTCCCTTGCAGCGTGTTCTGCTTCTGATGGGTTCTCAATTTTGCAACAAACTGCATTGTGCACTCAGATTTAAATGTGTATCTGCTGCTTTTCCTTGGCAATAAGGAAAACTTTGAAATCAATTCAGTCCTTACACTCTAGCAGAACTTGGACTAAAATTGGACGGCTGATTGTTACAGAATAGGAGGGTTATTTAAAATAGCATGTTCGTGAGACGTCTGGCATTTCACACCCACTGTTAAAATGGGGTTTATCTCATGTTTTTAATTTCACCTATGTGAGGTACAGACCTGCAGGTTGAATGCTCAGTCGTACCACACCAACAACGAGCTAAACTTGTTGCTTGTGATGTTTTTTTTTTGGTAAGCAGTGTGATTTTAGGTCAGATCTGGATAGATAAGTTGAGAAAACCCTACTGCTTCGGTTGACTTCAGCTAACGCTGTTGTGAGTTACCTCAGCATCGAGTCTAGGAAAAGGAGCTGCATGTGCTCTGGGAGGGTTTCCAGGACAGAAAGGTGGGAGGTCGGGAGAGGTCCCACCTGCCTGAGACCTCTCACACCATTGCACTCTCAACCTCCCGATACCCATATTGGTTTTCTTGGCTACCATTTAATTCCTAGAAACTTCAGTGATCCCAGAGAAATCTGTGTAAATATGAGGCGTGCCTTTTACACAATAGATTTTTGTAAACAAACATGTTTGAGGGCAGAACTGGATCTATTCAGTCTGTTTTATAATTGACTAAAGTACTATAGGACTGGGATCTTTTATCCCCCTCCTTTTTTTTTTTCTTCTTCCTTTTCCTTATTGGGAGGAGTAAGAAAATGATGGGTGATGCTTTCGGAGTCATTCAGTGATTTATGAACACAAACTGCTTTCAGTGCAACATTTGCACACATTTGCTGCTTATGTGCTCCTGGAAGTCTCACCCTTGCTGTATATTGAGGGGATTATGTGAAATATGAATTTATCTTTTTAAAAATTAGATTCAGGGAGTTTTATTTTATGCTCCTTTTAATGCCAATACTTTTGTTCCTGGAAATTCTCCACAAGTAAATGGTAGACAGGGATTTTACAGCCTCCAAGATAGATAAGTCCCCATTTTCCCCTCTTCAAACAACCCCAAAGCTGCTGCCAGAAACCCAATACACAGGTGGTCTGCAACTTGCAAAACATGATCTAGTTTATTCTGGTTCCCTAAAGCAAAACAAAAATGAACAAAACAAGTTTACTTGTGTTAAATATTTGCACAGTTTTGTGGTAAACACTTGGTTTCCTAATTCCTATCTGTGTTTTTCAAATAGATTTTCTTTTCCTCCCCAGAAGCACAATGTGTATTCTTTTGGAAGCCTTATTTATCTGCAGAGTGCTGGGGCTCAGTGGCACCGCGAGGACCAAGCCATCATCCCTGACCCGCCTGTAACTCTCCCGGGGAGTGGGCAGCATCTCAGCCTTTCGGATCACCTGCTGGAAGCAGCAGTGAGAGGTGAACGACACATTTCATTTGTGTGATGAAGATAGAGGCTTTCCAGAATTTGACCTGAGAAATGTACTTTTCCCTTTATGTTTCTCAATCACCAACTCAAAGCCAAGCGTTACCAGGGTCAACTACGTTCTAAGTCACCAGGTTAATGATAGTAAGAAATGCCTTTTGTCCCCCTGCCTCTCTTTTTCCAAAAAGTCATGCTCATTCCTTTTGAAATAAGGCTGTGATCACTAGAATTTAAGTGAGTGTTTACTCTAGGAGATGCTCCTTGAGTTCACTCTACCGGGAGATGACAAAATGTTCTGCAAAGCCCTTGTTCACTCTGGATCCTACTTGTCTTCAACAGGCTAAAGGAAACCTGGCTATCTATTCCCATCCCTGCAGCTGAGATGCTCTCAAAGGTGGCAGTCAGTCCATTAGTGCTCATAGAAGGGATGATATTATTGGAAAGTGAAGACCTGCTGCAGGGATGACTATCAGTGACCGATGGAAATCCACGGAGATGGGAATGAACCTGGGTCTCACTGTCACCACAATACTCTGCAAATCTACCTTTGAACAAAAGATTAGTGGCAATAATGAAATTCAACAACTGAAACATGAGGCTTCATGGATAAAAGTCATCTTTATGGGGATTTGCAGTGTAAAGTCTGTGCTTCGCCTAAGTACTGATTTGATTACCTAAATCATGTACAATCATAGAGCAAATCTCAGAAGTTAATTGCCCCCCCAGGAAGCGTAGAAATGTAAAGGCTCATACTCCAGACTCTCTCACACTCTTTGTCAGCCACACACACAAAGAGTATACAGTGCTTAAGACCATGTGAAATCTACTCTTACCTGTATATATGTGCTGCACGTAATCAGGGTGCTTTTCAGCAAACATGTCCTTTATCTTGTTTTTTTTGTCAGCCTTGACTTCTGTCACAACTGGTGTGTACATAACTGAAAAAGATTCTTCTCTAGTGATGGCTTCTTCAATCATAGCCTAAAAAAGGCAGAGAAATGCTACATTTCATGTCGGTTAACGGCTAGTTAAAAAAAAAAAGAAAAATAATTACTTTCACAGACGATATTTTCCCTTTAATAATTGCACAGTCATGCAAAGATAACATATTTTGGTCTTGAATATTAATTAGAGGGGAATTTAAATTAGTTCCAGAAAACACTGCCTATCTATACTCAGAAAATCAATTTAATGGAGAAAGAACATTTGTAAACAGTTTTCAGTGCAGCAAGCCTATGTCTTCAATGAGGAGAGAAGTATTAGATAAATTATCTTTTAGATGAAAAGAAAAAGTGATTCCATGCTCTCTGAAGGTCACATCTTTCATCTGAGGGTTTTATTCAGTCCTTGGGAGCTGGTTAAACAATACTAAGCATTCGTATTACCCCTTGGGTTGGCGTGAATCAGACACTGTGTCTATACGGAATATTAGTCTTAAAATATTGCATTTAAACACCATTTGCATTAAGAGTAAAATTCACTCCTGTGCAGAGGGCAACACAAAGCTTATGAACCTTGTCATCCCTTAAAAATGAGTCAAATGATGCATTGTGCTGGTCTTATGCGGAGAGGTGGATTTCACACTCAGTGGACCCCAATGAACTGGTGCTGGAACTGCCAGGAGGAGCCACCAGCCTGGAAACAGCCTTGCTTGGTTCTCTTATCGACCAGTGCAAGGGAGGTTTAGCCGCAGTTCCTCCTGGCTTGGCGTTTGGGTAAGACTACGTTCAGCGCTGCTTCAGCTGCATCTGTGGCTAACAGAGATTTTGTCTTCCTGACATGGACAGTCCTTTCTGGAAACCGGGGGAACTGCAACGCTTCATTGCTGCATCTTGGCAAAAGCATAAACATGGTTAATAGTGACCATACTAACACAAGGTTAATAGAAGTGGTCAGAAAAACATGAGAGGAAAAGATATATATTTTTTAACAGGGTGTGTGAATCTCCCAGATCACCTTATACACTGAAGTGATTCACAGAAAGTGTGACTATGGGACGAGCTCGGTGTTTTATTAACAAATCCTCACTTTTGTTCTCCAGTCTATCCTCCACCTATGTAAAATTATCCAAGACATAGTGTGCCGCTGTGAGTCATTTGTTTCGCTGACAACTGCTCGCACCAACCCAGAATGGAAGGCTGAGAGTGCCAATCAGTTAAGTATCTATGTCCTTCTCCTTAATGGCTTTAGACAACAGGTCCTCTGATATGGGCTTGTGCCATTTTATTTCCGTCCTGTTTATTGGTATGGGTTGTGCAGAAATACCATAGAAATGCTACAATTGTTTTGAGGAGATATTGGGATAAGCTGCCATACACATTCCCTGAGTGCTCTTACAGTGAATACTCTGCCTGGATGTCGAGGGTATCACTGGGGATTTGTTTATATTTCAGATTACTATATTTAGTCAGCCCATTATCCTGCATTTACTGGAATGGAAGCAGTCTGGAGCGGGCAGTGTTTAGCCCTGGAAAATTAACAAGCTTGAAAAGTGTGTAATAGTATCATGACCAACCGGGGCAGTAATAACGTCCCCCCCATCCCCGTGAAGAGGAGTTCCAGCTTTCCACGGGGGCAGCCGTGCTATCCGTGGTTAATGCCGCAGATCTGGAGGTATAAGACCAGAAAATGGCAAGTGTGTCCTCCTGCCAAGATCTCGGGGGCCTGGGAACGGATCTGCGCCCATTCCTCCCTGCGGGAATACTTACCAGTCTGCACTGACTTATAGAAAAGCGATTTTCGGATTTCATATTTCTATGGACTTTAATTATCTTGTCATTCAGGCCCCTTAGAGGATCAGTAGCAAAACAATGGTGCCACCCTAGCTTTCCAAGGAACGTTTTTGAAAAAGCAGAGGCCTACTTGTTCAAGTTTTACTGAATTTCATGTGTAAATATAGGCACAGAATTAGGTCAGCCGTATTTTGTGTAAGATGTTGGGTATTCTGCTGACTTTCTAGAGCTTGGCAGCCATTTCCTAATCTGGATTAATACGAGCATGTGACTGCGTTTTCGGCTGTATCCATACACTTCGAATTTAAAATACATGGAACGAGGCTGCAAGGTGAAAATGTGAGAGGCTGGACCAGACAAGCCCTGTAAAGCCTACAAAGCTCACTTTTGGCTTTATCATCCTCAAGAACAGTTCAAAGTCATGCCTACAATATCTCTGCATCACTGTGTACCCGTGGCTGCTCTGCACAGCATGCAAATAGTGACTAGCTCAGAGGGCAGTAATGGTAAAATGTCAGCCAACGGGGAAAAGAATAGATCCGTAGTTTCTGGTCAATACTTCCACTGAAGATATTATTATTACCCAAGAGCATTTTTTTCCCCCCAAGCTACTGACCCTGGACATAGATGCTATTTGTTTTATTATCCTCTTGGAATTTTATGGGGTAAAGTCTTTAAGGATATAAAACTTCAGCCCATAAAAACTTTGGAGGAGAAAACTTTATACGATGAAATCCATAAGGATTTTTCTGCTTAAATCTTTATGCACTGAAGTCCATGCCTGTCGATGAATACCCGGCAATGCGTCCAGGAAAAAGGGGTTGCCTACAGAACTTCATTTATCATGCAGCTACTCAAGTTACAGTCACACTGTGGAGAGGATTGCAAGGGCTTCAATGAAATTTTAAGATAGTCATTGCAGAGAGGACAGGACAAGTGTTTTTTCCCATATGCATGAGTTTTGGTGTCTTTCCATGTGAAGGATCCTCTCTGCAATGTTCTCTCAGATACATCAGGGAGGATGGTGCTGTTCTGATGGCAGAATGGAAGAAGCATCAGGCTCTTTCATGAGCATGGGGGTAGCAGCTAAACTGATAACGATCATAAAGAAAGATGATTTTTTTTGCATATCTTGCAAATGAGCTCTGCGGCGATATCTCATCACATGATGCTACAGTCCAGCCTTTAATTTCAGCAGAGTTAGAAAAGGTGAAGTCCTTGAGATGACCTTAAACCATAAGAAAGAGCTCCTCTAATGATGTACAGTAATGCAAGGACTACGATTGACACAAGTCCATTGAATGTGGTAGTTTACCTCAGCAGTGGACAAAACCTATCACTTCAGTGAAGATGCAAGAACTGGCTCAAGAAGAGGCTGCAGAATAAACTGACGATAGGGAAGATTTCTTTTTGTAGTTATGGGTCTGACTCACGCTCTGCTATGTCAGGAGGTTTATATCTCTGTTTTAGAAGTGTGGGAAATCAGAGAAAGTCTGCAGAGAAACCATCTGGAGACAAAGTGTCTCAAGGAATATTTATATTGTCAGCACTTCTTTTAAAATAGCAATTAATTCTTTCACGAAACACGAGCGTTCACAAGGCTTGAGGGATGTACGTTGCTATCATGACAATTAAAAAGCCAAAAGACATTCCTAAACAACAAACTTTGTTTCGATCAAGGGTTTAAACATATATTTGACCTAACAGCACATACTCCTCTTCTCCGAGCACCTTGGCTCTGCAGTGTCTTTACATTCTACCATATTTAGTAATGTTACATTCCACAGATCTTTTAATAAAACTTTAGCCTAAACAATCTTATATTGTCCCTTCAACACACATAAAATTCTTCTAAGAGCTCATAAAATGAATAGGTAGATGCACAAGAAACAAAGGTTTCCCATGCCAAATTTTGATGGCAAATGATATAACTACTTCAATATTTTTATGAAGCTCTTGCCATTTTGCCTGCTTAGAGCAGACATAGAAGAAGAAAAATGGCACTGTATCAGCAACAGTGACAGTAGTTTTCCCTGTTACAGTCCCTAACCTTAATCCTCTTTAACTACAGAAAGGTTTAATTTGGAAAATCCAATTATCTTGACATCTAGAATTAGCCAAAAATTTAGATATCTTTCTAGTGCCTTATCTTGCAGCTGCAGTGCACACTCAGCCACTGTCTCATTTACAGTGCAGCAGGAACTGATGCTTTTTATTGATGATTTTTATTAATGCAATGATATCAGTCAGGGTAAAGCCGTTAGCCTTTTCTATGAACTGCTTCCACTCTCAGGCTGGTAGTCAGAATTATGGGTGCACTGCGGTGCGACCTATGCGCTTTTCTCTATATCTTTCCAACCATAAAGAAGTATCTGGCAGCCCTGCCACTAAGTCTGTTGCTGTTGTGATATGAATATCTTCTCACCAGCATGATCTTCTTACATCATTTTTATTTGTATTTTTTTTTCTGCAGGAAAAATAAGCAGACAGAATGCCAGAGCACATCCTTTTCTCAATATGTTTATGGTATGAATAAATCATGTATTATACAATAGAGGAGAACTTTCTGCTTATCTGCCATGTAATGGCTCCCCATTAATGTAGGTCACATCAAATATCAGCTTATTTAGGTTCTTAAGTTATTAACGTATTTAAGTCTCTGCGAGTTATTTTGTATGCAGTCTATTTTGAAAGTGGATTTGCAGAGCGCCACAGCAACAGATCTGTGTCTTCTGCTGACTTTCGGAAAGGCAGAGGCAGACGTGCTGTAGATGGGTTACCTTAGACTTCAGTATCTGCTTGATACTCCAATAAGTATCTCTTTATGTTTTGGAAGAAAGGAAATCCATGCTTTATATCCTTCCAAAGAGATCACTAATCATTAAAGAAAAAGCCTGCAATACATGAAGTATGGAAAAGGCTGGAGGCTGCTCTGGAAACTCCCTGTCCATGATGCCGGCAGGTGGGAAAGCAGGGACAGAGCAGGAACGTGGAAGTCCAACCCTAGTGGGGGAGGCTCTCTGCCCACAAGCCCGTCCTCCGGTCACACAAACTCACGTGCATGGAGAGTGCTGTGGGACTCCTCCGCCCTTGCATCACTTGCTACCAACTGAGAATCTTACAATTTCATCCCAGCATAAAGGTAAACATGAAGGATTTCAGTGGGTTTTTTTTGCTACAGTGGAGCAACCCTGAGACCAACGAAACACTTTGCAGGGCTGATCCAGAACGTTGACAAGGTGAGCCTTA